CCTAGGGTGAGTTTAAGACCTTCTTGAGACAAGGGGGCTGCAGCTGCCAGGGCACAGAAACAAGACTGCCATCACTTGATGATGGTGTCTACTTGTTTTGAGAGATAGGCCATGGGGGCAGAGGTGGGTCCCTTCATTGTCCAAGGACCCCCAGAGTCAGTCCCTTATTTTCAGTTAGATATAAGATAAATGGGGATCCTAGGTCAGGGAGGGTTAAAACCAGTGCCTCTAGGAGGGCTTCCTGATGGCATGGAAAGCCATTGTGATTGGTCCCAAAGGCTCTACAGGTTCATAAGGGTACCCTTTAGATGCCTTATAAAAGGATTTTGTTAGGAGGGCAAAATTTGGGATCCAAGTTCATAAATATCCTGCTATGCCCAAGAAGGATGAGATTTCTTCCTTAGTAGTGGATGGTTTTAGGGATCGGAAGTGATTTGGTCTATCTAGAGTCAGGTGACAGGATGTGGGAGTAAGAAGAAAGCCCAGGTACTTAACTTGTGGGAGAGAGAGTTGGTCATTGGAGGGAGATACCCTGTACCCCTTACTACCTAGAAAATTGAGAAGTTTGGGCATGGGATAGTGAAAGGGATGGAGAACAAAGGAGAAGGTCATCTACATATTGTGGGACTATGGAAGGACTGAGGTCTAAGGTGGCCAGATCATGGGCTAAGACCTGTCCAAATAGGTGGGGGCTGTCCCAGAATCCCTGAGGTAGGACCGTCCAGGTCAGTTGGGAAGCTGTTCCAGAATCAGGGTCCTCCCAGATGAATGCAAAGAGATCATAAGAGTCAGGGTGTAAAAGGATAGAGAAAAAGGCTTCCTTCAGGTCCAGGACTGTAAAATAAGTAGTTGAAAAGGAGATATGTGAGAATAGGGTATAAGAGCTAGGGAATACTGGGGTGGATGTGGACCATGGCTGCATTTATGAGTCAGAGGTCCTGAAGTAGGTGATAAGATCCATCTGGTTTAAGAACAGATAGTATGGGGGTATTGTAGGGGGAACGGGTTGGTTTGAGGAGGTAAGACTTTAGAAGTCTCTGGATGATAGACTTGAGTCCTTGACAGTGTTTTAGGGCAATGGAATATTGAATTTTACAAGGGTATATAGAAGAATCTTTGAGGGTGATGTGGATGCGAGTGTGATAAGCCAGTCCTGGAGTGGAGGTGTCCCAAACTTGGGGATCAACCTCAGATGCTGGGAACAAATAGGTTGTGCTTTGGTGGGGAGGAACTATAGCAGAGGAGAATGAAGACCATGGAGGGAATAAAAGATAGAAAGAGAGTTTCTGCATAAGGTCTCTACCAAATAAGGGAGTTGGGCATGGGGGCATGACTAAAAAGGCATGAGTCAGTGGGTTTTCCAAAATATACAACATAAGGATCCTGTTGTTTTAGGGAAATGGGGTATCCATCTACCCCCACCACAAAGATTTGTGAGGGAAAAACCTTACCAGAGCAGGAGGGGAGAACAGGCCATGATGCCCTCATATCTATAACAAAGGAAATAGAGCTACTGGCTACTGTAGCCATTACCCTGGGCTCCTCCATAGTGATGGTCATAGATGAGATGGGGGCCAAGTAACCAGGACCCTATCAGTCTTCAGCTACCAGGCCCAGAAGATTGGTGACAGACTCCTGAAAAATGGATGGGGTCAGGGAGGAGAGTGGCCCACCTTGACATGGCAAAGGAGGACAATCGATCTTCCAATGACCTCTCTGTCCACATTGAGGGCAGGGTCCCAGTGGTGGTTGTGGGTTGGAGCATTGTGTGGCCCAGTGTCCAGTCTGTCCACATTTGAAGCAGGGTCCTGGCAGCTGGCGCTGTGTCATAATGGAGCTGGAGATTTTCTTCTTTGGAGGACCCCTTAGAGCAGTGGCCAGCAGCTGGTATTTTTGTTTAGACAGGGCAAATTTGTCTGTCCTAGTTGGCTCCTCTGGGTTATTAAAGAGTGTAAATGTCATTTCTAACATATATCCCTGGGGGTTATCTGGGCCCTTTCCAGCCGTTGAAGTTTTCTCCTAATATCAGGGATAGATTGTGAGATGAAATGATGGGTAAGCATAAACCTGCCATATTTAGACTCCGGATCATATCTGGTGTATGGTACCAGGGCCTCAGTAAGTCTAGCCAGAAACTGCTGAGTTTTCAGAAGGGTTTTGAGTTGTTTCCTTTAGTTGATCAAAATTGACAATTTTATGGGATATTTTCTCTAATCCTGAAAGAAGACAAGTAATTGTAAAATTATGAGCCTTTTTCCCTTCTCTTCCATCTTGATAGTTCCACCCTGGGTCCTGCTGGGGACATCGAGAGTCCCAGCAGGAGAATCCCCATCAGTTACATGGAGTTCTTTGGCATGCTCTTGGGCCACCATCCAAACCCGTTCCCTCTCAGCAGAGGTCAGCATAGACAGGAGGATGACAAAGATGTCATGCCAGGTCAAGTCAGAACTGAGGGTTAAATATTTGAATTCTTTAATGAAGCGGGTTGGGTCTGTGGAGAAGGATCCTAATCTTTTCTCTATTTGGATGTATAGAAAGGGACATGGATTCTGACAAGTACCTCTATCCCAGTTACCTCATGGAGAGGGTAGAAACCCACAGGATTGGTGGGTTGAGACTGTGAGCGAGTGTGTGGTAAGAGATGGGGGATGGCGAAGGAAGGGGACAGAGGAGGTGACTTTTTCTTAGTTGAAGGATATAGTGAAGCTGCCGAGGCAACTGAGGAAGCAAGGTGTTCATCAGAGGCCACCAAGTGTTTTAGGAGTGTCATATGAGGCATGTGAGGTGTGGGAGGTGGGGAAGGTAAGAGCATGGCAGGGCAGAGTGGAGATGGATGTAGCAGGGAAGTGGGTTGCAGCATCCCCAGCGGCATGGCAGCACCACAACGGGTGCAGATGGTTGTCACAGTTGGAGAACTGGATGGGAAATAGGGAAGGGGGGCAGAGGAAGAAAGGGATGATGAAGTGGGTGTTGGTTGACAAGGGTGCTGTTCATAGGCCAGGTTGGGATCAAAGGCAGATTTGAGGAAGTAAGGTGGGGGAAGAGGGGTAACTATCAGCAGGAGGGGTTCTTGCCAAGAGGATCTGGCACGTCTGGAAGGAAGTGCAGAGGGAGGGTATGGCATGAAGAACAAAGAAAGCTTGAACATAGGGGAGTTTGGACCATTTGCCATTATGTTGGCAGATGTTATCAAAATCTCTCAAAATATTGAAGTCTAAGGTTCTTGTCTCTGGCCAGACAGAACCATTGTCTAACTTGTACTGTGGCCAGGCAGTGGTACAGAGAAATTTGGGGCATTTGAGTCTGACAGTGCCCAGAAGATCTAAGGTGTTTAAAGATTTCAAGAGGCAAGCAAGGGGGATGAGTCCAGCAGGTTTAGAATTGAGGTTGTTCATTTTAATTAAAGGGATGAGGAAGAAAATGAAAAGGGTGGTTAGTGTGAGGAGATAAAGGAGGAAAATGAGAGATAAAGAAGGGAAATGAGAAGGCTTATGGGTATCTCCAGGGGAAGGAGAGGTTGGCAATGAGGCTGACTAGAAAGGCAAGTACCAAAAGGAGAGAGACTGAGAGGACAAGGACAAGAGAGGAAAGAGGCACGAGAGGATAGGTATGCCAAATTGCCATGTGGGGCCAACATCCAGAGAGGCATCCCTCCATGGAGAGGCTCCCAAAAATGAGAGTGTCCCAAACTCCCTAGAGGTACTGTCCCACAACTAGGGAGGGGAAAATGTGGGATATCCTGATGTACCAACACGATTTTAATGAGGAACAGGAGATCCAATGACTGTGTGGCATAGAAAACAAGAAGGAGAGAAGGGGGATGGGGAGAGGGAGGGAGGGAGAGGAGAGGTCAGGAAAAGATTTGAGGGCATTGGATGGATGGGGCAATCCACCAGGTGGGCTTAGGCAGATGCAGCAACTGTGCTGGACACCCAATGGTCACGGAGGCCTGTGCTGCCCAGCGGCCAAAATTTTAATTCTGGGAGTGACTGTTGGGGTCATGATGAAAAGTAAAGTGGCAAACGGCAGGGAGAGTGAGGGTGGCAGCAAAGGATGGGAGAAGGGAGGGAGGGAGAGAGAGAGAGAGAGAGAGAGAGAGAGAGAGAGAGAGAGAAAGCTAGCTGATGGCTGAATCAGTTGTGAGTGCAGTAGCCGGTATCCAGTGGCTGGTGCAGCCAGAGTCCTTACTGCCAGACCCCCAATATGTGATCTGAGTCATGGCACTATATATTAGATAAAAAAGGTGGCAGTGGTCAAAATCACCACGAAACAGAAACAGAGAGGACTCTGGTAAAGGGAGAATTTATTTGGGGTTAGTGGGGCTGGGACTCAGCTCCAGAGTGAGTGAAACCAGCAGTCTAATGGCTGCAGCGGGGCAGTTTGTAAAAGCAAAAGAATGCGAAAAAAGAGAATATTTTTCTGCTGTTTGGGGCTGTTCAGGGAGGATGTGTGGTCTGTACCTGGTGAAACTTATCAAGGAAAACATCTACTGTAAAACATGTTTTTTACAATTACAGGGTTCCAGGAACCCACTGCAGCTACAGGGCTTGGGAAACCTGTTTGTCAGCCCATAGAGTATGCTCTGGTGATCACAATGCACTGGGTCACCAGTTCCTGAAACTGTTTTGTCAGGTGGATGATAGTTGGCTGACTTTGTTCCTCCTGGGGACCTTATGATTTCTGGGTCTGGGGTTGTCTGGACCTGAACCCTGTCACTAGCCACCATGTGGATGCTGGAAACTAAACCCAGGTCCTCTGTAAGAGCAGCCAGCACTCTTAACCACTGAGCCATGTCTCCAGCCCCCATTGTCTCTAGGTTTTTGGGTAAAGTACTGAACAATTCACCCCAGACTCTGGTAAAACCAGAAAACCTTGTAGTGAAGTATTTGAAACCAGGAGCTAAAATAAATATTTTCTCTTTTAAGTCACTAACATCAGATATTTTGTCCCAATAATGAAGAACTGACTAGGATATCTATGAAATCCCCCAAAAGAAAGTTTATTTGAAGGAAGAAAGTTATGTATAATAAAGGCACACATAAGCATGTTTTGGTTAAACACATTAACAACCCAGAAAAGGTACATTGAGGTTTACAAAAAATTACTGTGGAAGCTTTTCAGGGCAAGCCCTGCGCATAGGATGAATGTTTGGGGGCAGAACTTGATGCTCTGAAAGGATCTCCTGGATCTTGTCCTGGCAGGCCTTGTTTGCTACTAACCCTGCTTCAATCTCCCGGCGTTCCTCTTCTTTCTCTGCTTCTCGGGCCTTCTGTTGGTGGGCTATTTGCATTCGAAGTTGCTTCCTATACTCCTGAGCCAAACCATAGCGCCTAAGTTTTGAAAAGTATCAAAGCATAACATTCAAATTATCATCTGATTTTATTTAGAGCATTTTCATTAAATATAATTTGTATCTCTAATGTTGCTATGAATATGGACATGTACATATCACTGTGAGACCCATAAGTGGGATTGCTGGATCTTTTGATAATTCTGTTTTTTTAAAAAATATTTTTAGACTATCCTCAGGCCTCTTGGGGTAAGTCTACAGCGCAGCTCTCCGCGCTGGGACTCCCTAAGCCACATTCACCCTTCCATCCCCCCCCCTCGCCATTCTATACTCCTAGTTTGAGCCCTGAGCCACCCCTAGTCTTGGGGCCCCAGACACCTGGGGAACCAATACTTCTTCCTGACCCTTCTCACCCAGAGCAACGCAGTCCCTTTCTTGGGCTTCAGGAGCACCACTTCTGGTCCTGGCCCCGCCCTCACCTCTCGCTGGTTCCCTGGGCCTGCACCACCAGCTAACTCTCCTAGCCTGCACTACTATCCTCAGGCCTCTTGGGGTAAGTCTATAACGCAGCTCTCTGCGCCGGGACTCCCTAAGCCACATTCACCCTTCCATCCCCCCCGCCTCGCCCTTCTATACTCCTAGTTTTAGCCCTGCGCCATTCCTAGTCTTGGGGCCCCAGACACCTGGGGAACCAATACTGCTTCCTGACCCTTCTCACCCAGAGCAACCCACTC